TTGTTCTGTTGCCATCATTTCTCTGCTGCTGCTTCTCGCCATCTGTGCCATCTCTGGTGTAACAGCTCTCCTCACTTCCTTCTGAGTCCTCAGTAGAATTGTCTTTGACGTCCATAATCCCATCAACTGTCTCTTCAAGGCAATCTAGGCATTTACTATTAAGCACTTTAAAACTATTCTAGCCTCTATCCATTACTCAATTCCAAAACTGCTTCCATATTGTAGGCATCTGTTAGAGCAGCATCCCTCTCTCTTGGTACAAAATTCTTAGTCATCTAGTGCTGCTATAACAGAAATACCACAAGTGGATGGCTTTAACAATCAGAAGTTTATTCTCTTACAGTTTAGGGGCTAGAAGTCCAAATTCAGGGTGTCAGCTCCAGGGGAAGCCTTTCTTTCCCTATAGGCTCTGGGAGAAGGTCCTTGTCATTAATCTTCCCTTGGGTGGGTCTAGGAGTTTCTTAGCATAGGGACCCCGGGTCCAAAGGACATACTCCTCTCCTGGTTTCTCATTCTTAGTGGTAGGAGGTCCCTCTCTTTTCTGCTTGATTCTCTTTTATATCTCAAAAGAGAGTGACTGAAGGTATAACCTAATCCTGTAGATTGAGTCCTGCCTCATTAACATAACTGCCTCTAATCCTGCCTCATTAACGTCATAGAGGTTAAGATTTACGACGCATAGGATAATCATATCATATCAAAAAATGGTGGGCAACCACACAATACTGGGAATCATGGCCTAGCCAAGCTGACACACATTTTTGGGGTACACAATTCAATCCATAACACCCTTCTTTAATACAGATGGAGAGCATGTGATGATCTGGGTCTACAAAGGAGGTGAGTGTCAGGTAAATCCCAGTTCAGATGTTAGTGGTACTTTTTCCTTAGCACAAATCCTTAAGCACAATGAGGATTCCTCAAGGGTTTAAGAAGAAGGAAAACGAAGAGTTTAAGAAGAAACCTGACCTTTCATTAAATTATCCCATTCTTCCTATTAGTTTCATTCATTCACTTAACCAATCACTTACTGAGCTCCTACTATATGCCCACACTAATCTAGGCAAGGGACTCCTTTTCCTCCTTTTCTGTCTCTCATGGAGTAAACAGCATGGAGAAAGTCCCTGTCCTCATGGAGCTTACACTCTTATAGGAGAGAAAGACAACAAACAAGAAGGTGATGCTCCTTGCTCTACAAGCTTACTTTTTTTTTTTGTTTTAATAAATTCAAGATTCTTTTCTGTAAGCATGAATATGTCATTCTCTTGCTTAAAACTCTTCAATGACTTTCCTTCCTCTCTATCAGAGGTGATCAAAATCACCTGGGTGGCGAGGTGGGGACTTTAAAAAAATCATATATATATATATACCAAATGTACGGAGCCCTGGTGGCACAATGGTTAAAGCGATCAACTGCTAACTGAAAGTTTGGTGTTTCAAAACCACCAGTGGCTCAGTAGGAGAAAGATGTGGCAGTCTGCTTCCATAGAGATTTAACCCTATGGGGCCGCTATAAGTCAGAATCTCGATAGCAGTGGGTTTGGTTTTGCATACCAAAGGTAACAAAAGTGATCCACAAACTAAATTAAAACTTGGTCACTCTCCAAAGTGAAGGTCATAACACCTACCCTTCTCATAAGAGAATTCTTCCTGTACTTAAATAGCTGGGATTGTAAGCCCCCACTTTCAAGGTAAATTCTAGGATATTTTGTCCCCTCATCTCCAGATTTTTTTTATTTGTATTTTTTGTAAGAAACTCTATAGTCAAATATGAGAACTTGCCCAAGGTAAAGTTTCCAGATTTTATTTCAAGCTACCTCTTTTATACAACTTTTGCCTGAGCAATCCCAGATCTGTTTCTGATTGCTCCCTCCACTGGAAGTTTTCCCAATGTTTGCCACGGCTTCATCATGTTCTTTTTAACTTGTCCAGGGACATGACAGTTGTTTTTCTTCAATGATTATGTTTGGGACTGAGTTGGGATGACATTTTCTTTTCTTCCAATATAATCTGCATTCCTAAGATTAAACACATTATCATCAGATTGGCTTAATTAATATACACACACACATACACAAAGTTTTGTGTTTCATCACACTTGACAACTTCCCAAGATTAACTGAAATCAATCAGCTGGTTCATTTCTAAGATAGCTGAGTCTATCTTTCCCTCCTCTGTCTCTCTTTCTCCTTTTCTTTCTCCCCCATTATTCAAAACACAAATACACACTCTGGGTTTACTTTGTATTTCTAGTTCTCAAGTTGACTACAAGACTTTGGGAAAAATGTGAAGAACAAGAGATCTAGCCCCTTTCCAAGATTTTTTTCTTGAGGATTTTTCTTCCTTTTTTAATGGAGAAAATTATAAAACACTTCTTTCAATATGTGTCTCTAAACGATAAGAACATTTAATAAACATAATCATACTACTGTTACCACATCAAAAAGGCATCAATGATTTCATAATAACAAATATCCAGGCAGCGTTCTGACTTCCAATTGCTTCATAATGTCAAATGTTTATTTTAAAAAAAAAATCAGAATCCAAATAAATTCCATACCTTGTAACCGAAGTGTTTGGTATGTCTCTTAAGTCTCTTTTAATGTATAGGTTCCCTCTCCCTCTCTTTCTTTCCTTGCAATTTATTTATTAAAGAAACTTGGTTGTTTGTCCAGTAGCATTTCCCACAGGTGTAATTCTGCTGATTTTACCTTGTGGTGTAGCTTAACTGTCACAGGATTCTGAAACTTGGCTCTAGGCATGTTTGATTATCTTTACATTGTAAGTCATCAGATAATTTAGTATACCAAAATAAATCCCACTGTTCACCTCTGGAAAGAAATACTCCAGGTAGTTTCCTAAATAGCCTTTCTATTCAGTAAATTCTCTGTTGTAAATACTCAGTTAAGTAATTTTCTTTACTTTTGAAGGACAGACACAATGGAAAAGCAACAACAACAACAACAAAAAACACCTTTTTGGAGTTTTTTCCCTCTAAATAATGTCCCTGGGTGACAAACAGTTTAAACCTACCCATTGATGCCATGGAAGCAAGGCCTGGAGATCTGTTTCTGTAAAATTACAGCCAAGAAAACCCTATGGAGCAGTTCCACTCCGTAACACACGGGGTTGCCATGAGTCCTAATCGACTGGATGGCAACGGGTTAACGGGTTCCTCTAAATATCCATTGGAAACCCTGGTGGCATAGTGACTAAGAGCTATGGCTGGTAACCAAAAGGTTAGCCATTCGAATTCACCAGGCACTCCTTGGAAACCCTATGGGGCAGTTCTGCTCTGTCCTATAGGACCACTGTGAGCCGGAATCGACTCGACTGCAACCGGTTTTTTGGCTTTTTCTAAACATCCATTAGAGGGCGACATCTGCCTTAATATTTCCCTTAATAGGTTTAAAATTGCTTCAGATTTGTTTTCATATTTTTGACAAGTTGAACCTCATTACTTACTTTGACTTCTTATCTCACTTCTATAGGACATGACTGATCGTGGTCTCCTTTGCTAATTCGTTTTCTGCGACTTGTGACTTTCGAGTTACTTCATCTTTGACTCACGTCCCAGTTCTAACCATGAGGCGGCGATATTGCATAAACAAAAACCCACGGAAAGGAAAAATCAGGCGAAACTGCCTAATAAAGATCAGTTTCACAGGGGAAAGGGCTATTAATTTAAGAAGGAAAGAGACAAACCAGACATTCTAGTTCGTATCCAACTCACGGTCAGAAATGTGTTAAATACAGCACAAAGGAGCCATTCAGGAGTTAGGGAGGCTGACTTGGGGGAAAATGGGCGCACAATCCCCTCCTTGATTTTGCGGTTCCATGGAGGGAACATATATGAGTTCGTGAACGTGTGTGAAGAGTTAAAGGGCAGGAGCTGGGGCACGCGTGGACTGGGCGTGGATCGGCTGGAACGGATAAGCGCCCTGGCCGACTGCTCTGGACACACGCCCTGCCACAAGTTTAGAAAGTCCTGAGGGGGTATATGACTTGCCCACGGACACACTGTTAGGAGGTGGTGCATGCAGGCAGATCTTCCTGTAATAACCTACACACACACACAC